CACGTTTGAAAATTCACATATCCTAGCAGCGAAAAGGTTTCTGTAACTTCCTGTTTTTTCATATTCTTTATTCGCATTTAACTTTAGGCGTCAACTCCCCCCCCCCCCAAAAAAAAAAAAAAAAAAGAAAAAATAATAAAAACAAAAAAAAAAAGGTAGGCATCAACAGCTTTAAACTTAGTTACATGTAGAGGGCTTTTAATCTTGTACTTTTTTTAAAAATCCTTTTAGAGTTTAGACTGTGTATTCAACGTGTTGTTGCACATTAACTGTAAGGAGGTGGAATGTTATGTGATAGATGTTTAATTCCAGCAAATCACCAGAATCTGCTTCCATGTTCTGAGTGGGAGGTTACTCTGTTCCTCAACCCTCTATTTTGTGGTTTTGCCCTCAAGTTGAGCATTGCCGTTGTAGCCTTTTTTTTTTTTTTTTTTTGGAACCTTCAACATATTCTCGTCCGTTGTTATCAACAGCAATAAAACTTTAGGGTGTTACTCTACAAATGTGTCGATTAATCACTGATCGGTTCTCTCAACGGTCTGTCTGTCTGTCATGGAGGTGCCTTTGATCAGCAACGATACCACGCTTCTTAGGTTGTAGCATATTTTCAGCGTACTCGTAAAATGACAGTTATAAAGATGATGGAGGATGTCACCACATTCTTAATGTAGTTGTGTAATATAAACTCTAAGTTAGCTGTCCAACTAAAAGGTACGTAAGTAATACCTCAAATGACAGCAAGCATAAGAAGAAATCAAAGATATTTAAGAATTCAAGTTAGCACATGGGGAGTTAGAAGTTGTAGCCCTACCAACTTGGGTATGAATTGTCTGTCTTTAAGGGCAATTTTCAATAGTTGCAAAATTAATTTTGTGTTAAGAGGTAACTATGATATTGTATATTTTATGATGATGGAGATGGAAGAGAGCAAAAGAGCAATTAGAGAATGTCGGTTTTTCTTCTTACTCTACTAGTTCACAAGATAGTGAACTTATTTATAGGCAAATATTGCCCATAAAGTATGTTACATAATTGTACTTATATACAAATTATTGTCCTAAATATAGCTCATGTGATGAGCTATAAGCTATTGTGCTCCAAACTCATGTGAACTTCATTTGACATTTTCTTAACACTCCTCCTTGAAGTTCGCATGAAATGAAGTATGGGTTGCTTCAAAGAAAAATATTATATGCTTTGATATACTGCCTCGTTAAAAACCTTGTCAGGAAAAACCTAGTGGGATAAAAACCTGATCGAAGGGAAAAAGAGTGCAGTGCATATAATACTCCTCCTGATTTCAGCATAGATCACGAAGATGTCGCATTCCAATTTTGTGAACCAATTGCTCAAATTTATTGGAAGGAAGTGATTTGGTGAAAAGGTCGGCAAGATTTTCACAAGACTGAATTTGCTGGATATTTATTTCCTCGTCCTTTTGCAGATCATGTGTGAAGAACAGTTTTGGGGCAATATGTTTCGTTTTATCTCCCTTAATATATCCTTCAGTTACTTGAGCGATACATGCTGTATTGTCTTCAAAGATGATGGTTGAGTCTTCTGTTATTGCGTTCATTCCACACTCCTTTTGAATATTACTGATCATCGACCTCAGCCACACACATTCCCGTCCTGCTTCATAGAGGGCTATCAACTCTGCATGATTTGATGATGTCGCGGTCAATGTCTGCTTTGTTGATTTCCATGATATTGCAGTGCCGCCATAAGTGAATACATATCCATTTTGTGACTTGGCATTTTGAGGATCTGATAAGTATCCAGCGTCTGCATACCCAATGAGAGCAGCATCTTGTTTTGGTTGGTAATATAAACCAAGGTCTCGTGTCCCTCGTAGGTACCGGAGTAAGTGTCGAACTCCCTTCCAATGTCTATATGTTGGTGCATTGCTGTGCCTGGCTAACAAATTCACAGAGAAAGCTATGTCGGGTCTAGTATTGTTAGCTAAGTACATTAAGGCTCCAATTGCACTTAAGTATGGTACTTCTGGACCCAGAATCTCTTCATTTTCTTCTCGGGGTCTGAATGGATCATTTTTCATATTCAAAGAACGAACAACCATTGGGAAGTTGGTTGGGGTTGCTTTGTCCATGAAGAAACGTTTCAAAACTCATTCTGTATAGTTTGATTGATGGACAAAAATGCCATGACTCAAGTGCTCAATTTGTAGTCCAAGGCAAAATTTAGTTTTCCCAAGGTCTTTCATCTCAAATTCTTTCATCAAGTATTTTGCAGTTTTCTCGAGTTCATTTGGGGTTCCGATGATATTTAAATCATCAACATAAACTACAATGATAGCGAATCCTGATTGTGATCGCTTTATGAAAACACAGGGACTAACTTGGTTGTTTTTGAATCCTTCTCTCATAAGGTATTCACTCCGACGGTTGTACCACATCCTTCCAGATTGTTTCAATCCATAAAGTGGCCTTTTTAGTTTTATGGAAAGCAGTTGTCTAGGCTTGTGGTTTTCTGGTAGTTTTAGTCCTTCGGGGACTTTCATGTAAATGTCCGTATCGAGTGACCCATACAAATACGCAGTCACTACATCCATTAATCGCATTTGCAGTCCTTTTGTGACTGTCAAACTTACCAGAAATCTTAATGTAGTTGCATCAACCACTAGAGAATATGTTTCTTCATAATCAATCCCTGGAATTTGAGAAAATCCTTGGGCTACAAGTCTTGCCTTGTATCTAACTATCTCATTTATCTCATTACGTTTTCTCACAAATACCCATTTGTAGCCAACGGGTTTTACACCTGCTGGTGTAAGAGTTATTTTTCCGAAAACTTCTCGTTTTTCAAGTGACTTCAACTCAGCCAGCATTGCCTCCTTCCACTTTGCCCAATCACTCCTGTGTCGGCATTCTTCCACTGTCCTTGGTTCAACATCATTTTCATCAGACACAATGTCGATTGCGATGGAATTTGCAAATATTTCATCCACGATAACATCTTTCCTATTCCAATGAGTCTTGGTAGAGACGTAATTCATTGAAATTTCATTGTTATCGACGTTTTGAACGTCTTGTTCATTTCCCGTAGGGTTGTCTTCTTGTTCGTCCCCTTTTGGATTATCATCATTTTCTTTACTTTCATCCACATTTGGTCTTTCTTGACCTTCTGGCGAGGGAACATTATTAGTCTCATTTTCTATTCCATCCAATCTTTTCAATTTTCTTGGCTTAGAATCTTTTGAACCAAGTGGTCTTCCACGCTTTCTGCGTGCCTGAGATTCATTTTCTATGGCCTTATTTTCAGTTGGGATTTCAATACGTGCAGGGGCATTTTCTGCTGGTATATGTGATTTTGTCACCTTCTTTGTGTCTACAAATGCATCAGGCAATTGATTTGCAACACTTTGTAAATGAACAATTTTCTTAACTTCTTGTTCACACATATTTGTTCGTGGGTCTAACATCAACAATTGTGTTGCATTCCAAATAAGTTCTATTTCTTTCTTGTGTGGGTCCACTTTCTCTCCCCCTAAGGCTGGGAATACTGTTTCATTAAAGTGACAGTCGGCAAATCTAGCCGTAAATAAGTCACCAGTCAATGGTTCAAGATATTTAATTATAGATGGGGATTCAAACCCGACATAAATTCCCAGCCTTCTTTGTGGACCCATTTTTGTTCGTTGGGGTGGAGCAATAGGAACATATACAGCACAACCAAAGATTTTTAGATGTGAGATACTTGGTTCTCTACCACAAACAAGTTGTAGTGGTGAGAATTTATGATAAGTTGTAGGTCTCAATCTAATTAGTGTTGCTGCATGTATTATAGCATGTCCCCAAGTAGATGATGACAATTTTGATCTCATTAATAATGGTCTTGCAATCAATTGTAATCTCTTAATTAGTGATTCAGCTAGACCATTTTGTGTATGGACATGAGCTACTGGATGTTCAACATCAATTCCAATTGACATACAATAATCATTAAATGTTTGGGATGTAAATTCCCCAGCATTATCGAGCCTTATTTTCTTTATTGTATGATCTAGGAATTGTGCTCTTAATTTGATAATTTGGGCAAGTAATTTTGCAAAAGCAACATTTTTGCTTGAAAGCAGACTGACATGTGACCATCGTGTGGAAGCATCAATTAAAACCATAAAATATCGAAATGGTCAACATGCCGGATTAATTGGCCCGCAAATATCTCCCTGAATTCTTTCCAAGAATTTTGGAGAGTCAATAGCAATTTTGTTCATGGATGGTCTTATTATTAATTTGCCAAGTGAACATGCGGAGCATGTTAATTCATCCGATCGAGGAATTTTGGCATTCCTTATTGTATGTCCAATTGAATTCGCTATTATTCTTTGCATCATCCCAGTTGCTGGATGTCCCAAACGATCATGCCATAAAATAATCAAATGTTTGTCATCTAACTTCTGGTTAGATATCATATTGATTTCCACGGGTCGTATGTTTATACGGTATAACCCCGAAGAGTATGCTGACAATTTCTCATAAATGTGTTTCTTGCCATATTTTCCTGTCGTAAGGCATAAATACTCCTTTTGACCCGTTGTCATTGTTTCTAAATGATAGCCATTTTGGCGCACATCTTTGAAACTTATGAGATTTCTTCGAGATTTACTCGAGTATAAAGCATTATTGATCATCAATTTTGTTCCATTTGGAAGCATTATACAAGCCTTTCCAGATCCTTCAATTAATTTTGCTGACCCGGAGATAGTGTTTACATTTGCCTGAAACAACTTTAGTTGTGAAAAATATTTCCTATCCTTTAAGATAGTGTGTGTTGTTCCACTGTCCAAAAGGCAATGATATTCGGAACCAACTTCGGGTATATCCATATCTTCATAAAATAAATATGAGATTAGTTTAGAATAATATCATACAAACTTTTATTTATGATAGAAATTAAGAGTACATGACTAATCATTTAAAATACATATCAGAAAATTCATTAAAACGTAGTATATATTACATCAGTAGATGGGTTGATTAAGCATTGTTATTTTCTCCAAAGATGAAATCATTCCCAGTTTCAGCATTGTCCATGAAGAAATCGGACACATCAAGGGTAGGACATGGAGCATTTTCTTCATTAACATAATTTGCTTCTGCATTTTTCTCTTTTCCTTTTACAGAAGCCTGGTAAAGGTCTACCAAATGTTTGGCCGTACGACAAGTACGTCCCCAATGTCCTGTCATGCCACATCTGTAACATGTGTCTTTTCCTTTTGAAAGAGTTTGTTTGTGGCTTCCAGATGACTGTCCCTTCTGTTTTTCAAAATTTTTGAAATTACTGTTTCTTTGAAAATTGTTTCTACCACGTCCTCAGCCTCGTCCGCGATAATTTCCACGACCTTTTCCACGACCATTGTAATTTCCACGTCCACCTCTTCGTGCAGCATTTGCCTCGAGTGGATAAGAACTTGTTGCATTTGCCTCATGATGAGTGCCAAAGACCCAGTTGGTCTGAGATTATGATTTTTCAACAAAAGATCGCTATTTTGTTCTGCAACAAGCAATACACTCATTAATTCATTAAACTTCTTAAAACCTCTTTCACGATATTGTTCTTGCAACAATATGTTGCTTGCATGAAAGGTAGTGAGTGTTTTTTTCAATCATTTGTTCATCGGTGACTGGATGATCACAGTATCTCAATATAGATACTATCTCATGTATGGTTGAATTGTAATCTATTACAGATTTGAAATCCTGGAATCGTAAATTTGTCCAGTCAAATAAAGCCTTAGGAAGGAGCACCCTTTTGTGGTGTCCAAATCTTTCATTAAGGCAGTCCCATAATTCTTTGGGATCTTCAACCATCATGTACTCAGTTTTAAGGCCTTCATGTAAATGATGCCTTAGTAACACTAAGGCTTTTGCCTTTTCTTGTTCGGTAATGGGTTTTTCAACCGTCATTGCAGAAGTGGTAGTATCAGTTGTTTGACCAGGAGGACTTTTATTAACAGTATGCTCCAACCCTTGAGCTTTTAAATTCATCATGGCATCCACTTTCCATTCCAAAAATTTCTTTCCAGATAAATCTAGAATGCTGAATTGTCTTTTCACAAGATCTCCCATTTTAACTACAACAAATTACGTGATAATTAGTTTATAATCATACGTATATCACATGTGTTTAATTCTTCCATATTTTTAGTTTGTTAATGAAACACATGATAATTAAATTCTTTTTTTTTAACAATAATAAGACATAAATAAAATAGTTCTTTCTCCCCCCCTTGGTTTATTATTGTGAGTAATTATATAACTATGAAAAAAAAATCATATTAGTCGTATAAACAGCAAAACGACAACAACAATAGTAGTAACAATAACTATAATAATAATGGTAATATTATACAATGATGATTTAAAACAACAAAACAACATAATAAAACAAAACATGCTTTTAATCGACAAAATAAACAAACTTCACTTGTACATTATGACAAAAATTAATATTGCTACTAACAGAACTACAAGCGCCGTAATTAGGAGAAAATATTGTTTTATTTTCTTTAAATCTTCCTCAAAGATGAAGGTGTGGGTGTTTTGGATGTTTTGGTCGCCGTCGGGGAACATATTGGAGAAGAAGGGGTGAATAATTTTTGGGTGATTTTTGGATAAAGAGAGGATAAGAGATTTGTGGTGAAAATCGGGGGAAAATCTACCTTTTATAGAGGTAGGTTTATCTGTTACTGTTTTTTACAATTGTAAAAATATCATATAATGGTTTAATGTACTGGCAAAATTATGATTCAAATATAAGTATTTATAATTGTAAAAGGTTATCACACTGGGAATGCAAGTCATAGTGGTCCGAGAGCCCTAATATCTATAAAAGATCATGGGTTCGAAAACTGAAAGAAACACAAACAGTTCGTAAAAGAAAGAAAAATAATAAGTATAAAAGGCTGCATCTTTTTGTCAATTTAGTTAATAATATGCATGCAAAGTTACGACTAATTATAATTACTAAAATTAAATTTTACATAGAAGGTGAGTATGTAATATCAACATGTATGAATCAAACATAAACCAAGATACCAACATAAATAAAACAAGGCAAGATAGTAATAAATTCATAAGTAAGGATATTTTTCACCGTTGTTTTGAGATATATGATATAATAAATGTTTGAGTTTCTGGTATAGAGGATCCCAAAATATGGGCAACTATAGAGCATACTCCTCAAAACATTTAGAAGTAGATAGTATTTATTTGTTATAATTTTGAGTAGTAGGTATAAATATACCTGACTAGTAACTCGTGCTGATAACGTGTTAAGAGGTAACTATGATATTGTTTATTTTATGATGATGGAGATGGAAGAGAGCAAAAGAGCAATTAGAGAATGTCGGTTTTTCTTCTTACTCTACTAGTTCACAAGATAGTGAACTTATTTATAGGCAAATATTGCCCATAAAGTATGTTACATAATTGTACTTATATACAAATTATTGTCCTAAATATAGCTCATGTGATGAGCTATAAGCTATTGTGCTCCAAACTCATGTGAACTTCATTTGACATTTTCTTAACATTTTGGACCTTTTATCATAATTTTCCAAAATGTTTTATGATTCACTTTTTTGCATGCAGTACAAATGAGGTCAAATATATATGGAAGATTGTGAACTTACTGGATTTTTGTTTATAGAAAACGTTTTTTATTTGTTTGACAAAAAAATTATTAATAGCAAATTAGTGATAATTAAAATCTGCATTGGTTATTCAAAATATTTTTTTGACTAAATCTTAGAGAGCTTGTTTATGCGCGACATGATTTAGGATTGATCATTATTCTATTGAAACGAACCAGCCTCATTTCTTTATTATTGTCTTAAAAATCAGACAAGTCTCAAGAAGTCAAGAGTATGCACGAGATCATTACAAATAAAAATGTTTATCACATGTTTGAATACATGATCTTTTTTTTTTTTTTTTTTGAAATTGCTACCAATCTATTGTAGATGGGTGAATACAAGAAAATTTAATTATGCTTCATATTCAATTATGATACACTAAATACTTTAATTTGTACAAAATATTTCATCAAAAAAAAAAAAAATTTGTCCAAAACATAAATTTGAGAGCATTTATTTAGTTTCAACAGTTATTATTGTTCACTTATTTTTTGTAGTTATATAGTTTACTTCATCTGTTCCACAAATATTGCAACAAAGATGAAATTACGCATCCCAAAGCACATTTTATATGCTAAATATCTATAATTATATAAGAGTAAAAATTATAAAAAGTTGATATTGTGAAAGTATTTTACGAGACGAATCTAAATAAGACCCCACATGATTATATTTTACTTTACGTATAATATGTGGTCAAACAAGCACAATAAATAGTGTAAAAGTCCAGTTGTTGCAATATTACTAAAACGGAGGATGCATAATTTTATACCTCAAAAATATTTATTGATATTCAAAGTAAAACCTAGTGCATTGTCCGGGCCACACACTAGTCATTGGATTAAAACTGCTAGATTATAAGCTTATGTTTATATTAGGGCAATAATGTAGAAAAAAGAAAATCGATCCTAGGTCTTTGGTACTACCCACTAAGTCTTTAATCAATTAAGTTAATTGGCATCCATTGGTAATGTTTTGTTTGTAGATGTTAAACTAATTGATTTTATTTCAAAGTCAATGATTTGACATATAATATTACACTTCGTAACATTATTCACACGTATTTAAGTTAAAATAGTCATATGATATTTTGTTAGATTCACCTTAATTAGTACTATTATAATAATATTATAATATGATATTTTTGTATTTTTACTAATTGATAATTAAAAATAATAGAGATTTAAATTATATATTGGCTCGTAATATAAAATGTGAAACAAGTTCAAACAACTCGAAGTAATTAGAAACATCTAAGGAGTTTTCTTACTTTCTTTTATGGTTGTGTTCTTTAAAAGTCAGGGATTTTTGGATGATGGGAGAACAATTAGGAGAAGGTTAGCCCCACCTCTAATGATATTGTTGGCACAACATTTGTTTTCTAAACGGATATGTCGGCAAAACATATCAAATTTTACACCCTTTCAATTTTTCACTTTTTTTCCTACACTTTTTTTCCTAATAAAATTGACTGGAATATCACTTGGTAGTTGGTATCTGTTTTTTTCAAAAATGGGGCCTGAATTTCAGCCCCACCCTTCTTTAAAAATTGAAAAACAAAAAAAAACCAACAAAAAAAAAATTGAAAAAATAAACAAAAAAAAAAAAAAAAAAAAAAAAAAAAATCAAAATTACCCATAATAATCTGCAAACAGTCAAACACTGAGCATAATTTACTGATAAGTAATTAACCACACCAGACAAAATCTTCACTGTACACATTGACAAACCAAATCCAGACACCCAAACAATTGAAAATATATAAAAAAAAAAACTTATAAAAACAAATAAATTACACAATTACTTTCAAATTTTTTTTTGTACTAGAATTAATTAATAAACCAGCAACTAAAAGCAGCCAAGAAATTTCTTTGGTATTTGGCCAGTAACACGGAATTTAGCAGCACATTCTTCTGCTTTAAGTAGCTCTTCTCCTTTCTGGGCTTCAATCATTGCTCTCTTTTCTTCTGCTAATTTGTGCACTTCTGCCACCTTATTCTTCATTTTCTCTGCATACTCTGCCTTCTTTTTCTCCAATTTTTCCTGTTTCATTACACACGAGTTACACTATTACTCCTTCCATCCCAAAATATTAATAATGATACGACTAAAGGGTATTCGAGTAAAGGGTGCTGATATAATGTTGTGACTATCATCCGTTTTTCCTGTCTCATTACAGGATCAGGAATACTCCTTCCGTCTCAAGTGATAACACGACGACTAAAGGGTATTCAAGTGAAAATGTGTTGATATAATGTGACTATTACCAATTTCTCCAGTTTCGTACAGGATTTTCACGAATACTCCTTCCTCTCAAATAATAATACGACTAAAAGGTGTTCAAGTAAATAAGTGTTGACATATTGTGACTATTATTTTCAGTTCGTCCGAGTGTTTCAGAACTCGAAGTATTAACAAAACATCAAAACATGTAAAGGTTATATTTGAAGTACCTCCATATGTCTGAGTTCAGCTTCTAATGTAGCTTTCTTGCTCTTTTCCCAGGCTTCTACGTCTGACAGCTTTTTGCATGCCCTGTACATTAAAAACCCAGCAATTTAATCATCTTTGTCAAAGCATATAAGTTCTGGCAACTCCACTTTCATAAGTTAAGATTACTTCAAATATGATTAACAATTCACATAAAGTTGACAACTTCACAGAACTTGCAACTAAAGCATGATAAATACAACTATACAAGTTGTCAATAAAATTCATCAAACTATTGCTTAGTAGATAATCTATGAACTTAATACTCTAATCGATTTTCTAAAATGTGTCCACGACCACTTGTTAAGTTTCATGATACTCCGTATTCTATATAGAATATCTCTAGAGTAGATAAACCCTTGTAACTACCCATGGACACTCGTTAGAAA